ACAGGAACCTTTTGAAAAATACGGTTCATGTCCTGAAAGACCCCCCCCCAGCAAGAGATCACGGAAATGTTTGCCTTTCTTTTCTGCCTTTCATACAGTTCTCACATTCCTCTTTGGTATAGTTATTTTTAGAGAGTTGTTATTTATTTATTTAAAGAGTGTTATTTATTTATTAAAGTTATGTTGTTTAGAGAAGCGGTGATTCGAATTGGATGGAAAATACTGCATGGCTGTCGCATGTTCGTCACTCATATTACGAACCGGTTCGACACGTCATCTTGGACAAGTACCACAAGTACTTTGTGCGTTGATGAGCGGAACTGCCGTCAGGACCATAATGGCGTAAATCGCCGAACTTCCCGATTTTTTTGCATGGATTTCTTTTGCTTAGCTCTCGTACACTAGCAATAATCACGATGATTTCTGTTGAGGACCATCGATCGCATTACTTAACATCTTGTCCTCATTCTTTGCACGCGAATCTGCACGAACACGCAATTTTCACGGTTTTCCCTATAAGAATGATCTTTGCCGAGTAGAACATCATACGGTGACGTACTTCGGTGAGATTATAGACAATGAACTTCCTTCCCAAGCCCTTTTTGCGACATATCCCATTGAAAAACCACATGAATTTCAAGGTGATTGCTTCCAAACATTTGCTTACTCATTTCAAAGCAAGTGTACTGATCTTTTTAAAAGTTTTTTTTTCTGCTAAGTTTTCGTTTTGAGTTTTTTTTTCACGGTGATATAAATATTTATCAATTTGTGGCCGGCCTTGCCACGAATGCTGCCATTTGGGCAGCCTCAGTAACCATTTCATGTTTTGCCTAATATTTAGGCCCAGTTTTACCATTTTTGTTAGAGTACAACTATTTTTTTTTGCTTTCATCAGCAAACACACCAATTATTTTTCAAGTTGGACTAAATGGTTGTGCAGCTGGTACTAGTCGTGATAGTGTTCTGACACAGTTGTACTGTTCTTTGTTAAATATTTTAATAAATATTTCCATCTATGATAATCAAATGCAAGTAACGGAAACTAGCGTAGTATTGGTATATTCAGAACTTCGAAAGGCGTTCGTTTTATGAAGGTCCTACAGAAAAATGGCCATTGGTCGGGTGTGTGGCACACGGATGGCTCACGCGCGTCACAAGAGATTCGGCCACGGCCGCGGTTGCTCTGCAATTGTTAGGGATGTCGTGTGGGTGTGGGTCACATTTTTCATTTTGAAATATTGCGCGGAGTTCTAATTTGGTGTTTGAGTGTGAAATTGTGGCACTATTGCTCTATTACAACCCCAGTGGCAGTGAGATGTATCGAAGAATTTCTCAGAAACCTTAACTCGTCGGGTTCATCAGATGCTCCTGATCACGGATACCCATCCACTTTTAACCCTGGCGCCAAATTTACCGCTTGGCGCCACTTTCTCGTGACAAATGTTCATCGAATTAACTGTATATTGGTGTCCTGATTATGAATATAACCGTCATTTTTAGCGCTGGCGCCATTTAGCTCCATTTTTCGGCTTGTTGTCCCTTCACGATAAGGCCCGAATCAGGGCTACAGCTCGGGGAAGAAGGGGAAAACGAGTAACCCATTTTATGATCTCACAAACTCCAATATTTGCAACAGGTACGCAGTTCTTTTACCCGAAGTCCCTCCTCCCTTTAAATTTAGTCTTCTGCACTGTAAGTGATAGCGCCCAGGAAGGTAGAAAATTCGTTAAGCAGAGCTGAATGGCCAAAATGAATGCCTATTCGTAATAAGGACACCACTGGACCCCTCACGTGCCGTGACAACAAGCTCTTGTGACAAATGGGTATCATTTGGCCACTTCAGCGTTCAAGGGGGGTGTTGTTCGCATCGTTACGGAGCCCGTTAAACACCCCAGGGAAAGTTTCAGCAAAATTTTTCTGATCCATATTACCATATCTGGGTTTGTAAAAGTGTTATAGTGCCGAAATTGTTGGTCTGTAATAATAGTGTGACCAAAATAGCTCGGAGTTGCTACTGTCAACAGCTAGGGATCGAGCGAGAGGTGCTTTGAGGTGATGTTCATGCATCTCGAGCTATATACGGATGAAAACTCGTTCTTGCTTAGTTTGCATCGCCAGTTTTTCCATGTCCCAAAGCAACCCGTGCATGTCATCGGCTCCGAAGAACAATGTATCCATTGGTAACGATAAAATTTATGAAGGGTGAAACGACTGTTGATGAAAAAAGATGCCGCAGTGCCCGAATAATGGCGGTCGTCAGTGGGTTAAAGCCGTTTACGATCGAAAGGCGGCCTATTAGAATCTGGGTAGAGGTAGTCAGTGGTTCCGGGATGAACGTAATAACCGAAAAACACTTGATCAAGGACCTTGGTAATGGGACCCTTGGGCATTAATCACTCAATCCGGTGCTGCCTTCTCAACGTTTCTCTACTTAAACTGCTAGACGATCTACTTAGGTATATAGTAGTTAGGGCGTCAGTATAGGCGTGCTCGCGGCCGATGGCGCCTCGGGAGGTGAGTGGCATGTAGGCAGCGTGGAATAACGCGTCGCGAAATTCCTGGCCATGGTTTGTACAGTGCGGTAGTAGTGCTGAGAGTGAATGTACGTGCGTAGAAGCAAGACGGCTCGGATGGCGAGTTGTGAATGTCGCGCGGAGAAGTCTCTAGTCAGCAAAAATCTGCGAGACATGCCCGTTTGACGAATCCATCGACCGATATTTTCCCCTGGATGGCCATGTTCACAGGGAGTGTACATCGCTGCGAATTGCATGTCAGGTCAGACCTTAGCGGGTCCGTCTATCTTTCCCTTCTTCGACCTTCTACCTATATCGTGAAATCCTCTTCTAAATCGCGACATTAAAACCTCTGATGACTTGTTTACACTAGCACTGCACGTCTTACCATTTGCTGTGCGACTGCATCCAGCCAGTTTTTACCTCGTTGAAGCTCACACTTGATAAAAACCCAGCAAGGGCACCCCATTTGAATGTGTCGGGCGTCATAGTTGAACAATTTGCACCTGTTCTGCGCATTTGCTGCAGCCCGCCCATTTTAATGATTTATTCCGTTGATGCAGTCCTTTGTGTTGGAAAAGGATGGAGGCAATGTCCATTTGAAATTTTATTACCCCAGCATAAAAACAAAGCTGTCCAACTTTGGGAGTATTCGAGTTGCTACAATTCGATTACTTGGTCACACTGTTTTAGTGAAGATTATTAATCGAGGAATGCGTCGTTACAGAAGAGATTAAGACTTTGAAGATATGGAGAAGGTTAAGCAATACAAGCCAGGCATACAGTACAGACAAAAACCGATAAGATCAGGATTGGATAGCTGAGACTTAGCTAAGTGATGAAGGAGCGTTCTTACATAAGATCTTCAAAAAATTCTATAAACTCCATTCTCTCCTTCTATTACTCGAGATTAGCGATCCAATCTTCAACTGCTGTCTTGATAGGCAACAAAGAAAAGTGAGAGATGGATTGTAAAACTGGTATAAATGATGTAGAAAAACGGTCTTCCCTTTTGTTTTCCTGAAAAAGACTTTCAATAGAAACATTTTGTAACGCTTATACAAATGAAATTTTCACTATAATCAACTCAGTATTGCTCCTTCTCAGTCAATTCTCATGAATAAAAAAGGATAAAGCATTTGCCGTTGATCAATCCCTTTTTGGGATGCGGCACGCATTCTACTTCCATTTGTACATTCGTAGTGGCGTTTGAATGCGATGTGGCCTATACAATGACTTGCGGGGCCAGCCGATGTACAAGTCAGTGTTTTTATCCTCCCAGACAAGTCTGGTACCAATTAACCGACCCCGGAGGGATGGAAGGCTTGGTTGGCCCGGGCGACTCACGACCCAGGATTTGATCCCCGGACCGCTCGCGTGGTAAGCGTGCCACTTGCCACTACACCACTTCCGCCCATTCTTACAGATATGCGTGACATAAAGATTAAAAACAACCTTTTGAAGGGGCTGAGTGACCAAAAAGTGAGTGCGGCTCTTCCCCATTTTCGCGGACCATGGAAGGTATACGGTAATCAGACCTAATATCCCCTTCGAGTCAATCCAAAGACACCGGAGTTGCAACCAGGTAGGTTTCCATGTCGTGTACCGCTCCGTTTTGAAAAAGCAAGGCATGATCTAGAAGGGCTTCCTGGTAAGAGAATCGGAATACTGACATTACCATGGGTTGTGAACTGTTGGAGGAGTCGTTCCTGGAAAATTCACTTCTGAACAGAAACAAACCCACGAATACCACGCGCTGGGGACGGTAGCGGGTAGGTTGGGCGGAGACAAGGGAGCGCATGGTAAGAAGTGCACCTAGGGGCGCACGTATTGCTCGACGCATTGTAGGAGTCGGGTTGAAGCGTTCGAATTCGAAATAGAGACGGAATGGTCAACAGAATAGGAAGAAAGGGAGAAAAGTTAATGCCACAAATGTAAAATGCCAAAAAGAGTTCACATCGTCCCAGCCCTTAGAAATTTCCAAATTGTTTCCTAAAACAAACTCAGGCACTATTTACCCCACTGCCCCACTCAAGAATTGACCGAGATTTTGATCGAAATTCGTCCATGACTGTAGAATTGGCTAGAAATTTGCCTTCTGGGGTGTTTCGACCCGTAGAACACGAATATCACACCGGTTTAGAGCGAAAACGCTTGGCGCCCGCGCCACAGGCGCCGGCGCTATCACAACAGTTTTGCGCGGGCGCTCGTAGCGCAGGCTACAGGTTCACTCGTAACGAACTAATGTGATATTCATGTTCTACGGGTCAAATACCTCTGAGGACAACTTTCCAGCGAATTTGGGGATCCGAGATGTTCTGGCGCCTTTTGGCGCCGGCGCTTCTGACGCGAGCGCCAGGCGTTCTAGCGGTAAACAAATGTGATATTCGTGTTCTACGGGTCGAATTACCCCCGAAGGCAAGTTTCTAGCCAAATCCACAGTCATGGACAATTTCGATAAAAACCCGGCTCAGTTCTCGAGGAGTGGGGCAGTAAAGGGTAAATAGTGCCCAAACAACTCAATTTTTTTGTTCTTTTCGTTCTCGTGAGTGATGGGTATCAAGCCAGTGATTTATGGGTGAGATAGAATCCAGTTTTCCATGGACATTCCTTCAACTTGCCAGAAGCTCATACACTTCTGGATTCCCGTAAGAGCTGATTTGGAAGGAATCAGCGATGGTTTCCACGTGAAATGCTTTTGCATTCTAGGCTCTGAAGAAGGACGACAGCTGCATATCAGCCTAATAATGCATTTTGCCATCGTTGGTTGGCACTAGCAGTACTAGCGCTACGTCTGT